TAAATCTAAATTTAAGAAATCCTAAATAGTTCATATAAAATTTACTCTAAAAAATAATGACTTCTGGTAATTAAAAGCTAATCATCAGCTCAGTGAAAAATATTCTAGGTTGCACTATAAAAAAAACTATAAACAGCATGTCTGTTCTACTTTCTCACTTTTTAGGTCAATCATACTGTATTAACAGCCTAATTTTCGTGAATTTGCTAGCATCTCTTAGAATTTAAACAAAGTACTTGAAATGTCATTAGACTCACTGAGAAATAAAGCCAGACAGAATTCACTAAGTATTGACAGCTGGATTGTATTACCACATAAGAACATGTATTATGACCACACTGTCACATTCTAAAGAAAAAAGAAAAAAAAAAAAAATCCCTAGCATAAAACTGATTATTGCTTTTAATATATAAGTTTTTTTCCTTGTTTATAACTGCTGTGTACTGACCAAAAATAGCTAACATTAAAACAAAGAATAGAAACATCCGAAACACTTAATTTAAAAAAATTTAGAATTATCAGTAAGACAAGTACAAAGAGTTAAACACCTACCATAATGCTATTTTAAAATCATTACTTACAACATTCTTTAAAATCATTACTACAATAATGTAAATTTCCTACTTTGGGTTCTTACCTTTTTAAAAACTTTCCTGTCTTTGCTGTTTCCTGATCTCCTCCATCAGGATAAAAAGAGGACCGCCCCCTAGATTCCTCTCTTGGAGCATTCTGTGGTGCAACTGTCTTTGCAGGGCTTCTTCGTGAGTGGATATGATGAATCCGACTATTCTAGGAAGGAGTGTATCGACTAGACCCATTTCCAACAGAACCAGATCCAGACCTTTCAGGACTGTGCTGAATGGAATGTGAATGCTGAGAAGGGGTATTTTTGGCAGAGTGGACTGTACTAAGCATGGGGGCATCTGAGCAAGATGAACTCTGACTGGGTGGTGTAGCAATAGGTGAAGGACTATGAGGTGATCTTGGACTATTATCATAGGCTGAAAGGCCAGGCCAGATATCACCAGATGTGGCAGATTTATTAAACTCATCAATAGACTCAGATGGGTCATGTTCAAATGTATCCTTTGGTTCCTCCTGTGATTTGCTTTTTAAAGGACTCTCTTCTTGGGGTTCCCCTTCAGCTTTTTTGGTTTGTTTTTCCTGAGACCCTCGTCTTTTAGAGACAGGAGATTTGCTATATGGGGATGAAGAACGAGATGATGATGATCTTGGAGACCTAGAGGATCTGTATGATCGACGGGATCTGCTTCGGGATCTTTGAGAAGAAACGGATCTTCTTTTTGGACTCCTGGAACGTGACCGACCTCGTCTAGGACTCCTAGAATGCCTTCTATTCCAGACAGGTCTATAGCCACCTCGATGGTATCTACCTCCTCCTCCTTGATAATACCCTCTACCCCGTCCTCTGTACCCATAAGGCCGTCTCATTCCTCTATTATTCCTGTAATCTCGACGATAATCTCTAGAATAAATACGATCTCTACTACGAGACCTTGAATATGTCCTGGAACCAGACCTAGAACTGTATCTCTTCTTTCTAGAATGTGATCTTGATCTTGACCTAGAACTAGACTGTGATCTAGACTTTGATCTTGAAGAATGTGATCTAGAATTAGAGCGGCCCATTTCTTCTCTCCTTGGGCTTTATGCAGGATCCAGAAGTCAGTGATGTCTTTAAGATACTGCCAAGATTCTTTCTGACACGCCAAAGTACGGTTCCCGGGATCTGTCTCCATCGT